ATGGTGCTGTCCAGGGCAATCTCCTCCTCGGCCATAGCAAGTGAACCATCGGAGTCGCACTCAAAGTACAAGATCTGGCCTGAGCTCAGCGCGATAGCAACCTGTCGGTTGTTTGTAGCGCAGGCTACAATGGTACGATGGGCTGGAGGTTGCCAATCAGTCAAACTAGCATGTGTCGCGCTCGCATCTTCGTTGGGAAACTGGATGCCCTGGATGTGGCGGATACCCTTGGGATGGATCTGGATGATGCAGTCCTCACCAAATTGTTGCACACCGAGCGTGTTTGTATCTGGGAGGAAGCCAGTGTTAGAGGCTTCCTCGACATCATCGCCGATTTTCAGAACTAATGTTCTGCTATGAAGGCACATGACGATGAGGGTGTCAGTCTCGTCTTCGCTGGTGAGCTTTGTAGTCCAAACATCTGACGCGTTTTGCGGCAAAGGCGACTCGATGAGGTCCAAAACCTCCAGAGCATTCCTGGTGGTGCGGAACGAACTCCGGCCTCCTGTACCATTGATCGTGTAAACCTGTGGCGCGTCTTCGAGGGCAGGGTTGGCAACCTCCATACCCATGATCGGGTTCAGACTGGCCATCGACTCTACCGCGGTGAGGTTGACCAGGACTCGAGGCTTAAAGAAAGGAGGCGCGAAAGCAGTCTCCGGATCGACAGGGAACTGGTCGCTTTCGAACACGGGGTCCTCTGTCTCGTCTCCTAACGACTCGAGCTCGTACAGGATGCGGTCCCCAGATTCGCAGGCAGCATACACGAAACCTGCCCTGAGAATGCAGATGCTGGTGACGACAGGAATAGTATCAAAGTACTTGATCTTGATCTTGTCGACTGTGCCATTTGTTGCTTCCACGGTAAGCTTGAAGACGTCGCCATCCTCTGTTTGCAGGAGGTAGAAGAAATCGCCGCCCTTCAGAGAGTACAGCGTACCAGCAACAATCATGCGCTTACGGTTGGGGTCTTCGGTAGCTCCCTCACGACGTGGAATTGCCAGTCGGTGGACGCTCGATTTGTTGTTGAAGATACGGCGGTAGGTGATGCTGTCTTCTCCACAGCACAGGACACCGCTTGGAGCATTTGGACCACCTGGTACCCGGAAGAGGGTATTGGCGGTCCGATCAACTGGCTCTGACCATTTCCGGACGATGTGGTTCAGACCAAGATCCAGCTCGTAGTATACCAGCTCCTTCTTGATCTCGTCGTACGCTTCGCCGGTAGGATCGGTCTCGGAGTTGGAGTAGTCCACCTCGAGAGTAGCGAACATGGGGTTGTCGTATCCGACATCAAGCCCGATGAGGCAGTACACTAGCGTCTGTGGCTTGTGTGCCTCTAGCGGTGAGGAGATGGCGATGTCCGTCTGGCCACTTCGGGTGAGAATGTAGACAAGCTTGTTCTTCTCCGTCGAGGCGATCATGATAGCGCGCCCTTTCGGGTCGGCTGCCAGATACTCGCCCGGCACTACGCGTCGTATTCCAGACTTGCCGAACGTCTCAAAGTGGACCGTCTTGAAAGTGTGCTCATCTGGCATGTACTCATACGTGACTAACCGTCCTGAATCGGTGGTTATGACGATATGGTCTGACGGAGTCAGCAGAGGTTCTTGTTAATTGCAATCCAGTCCACCGCGGGCTCAGTGAGCTGGGGGCTCGGAGGTGTCGTGTGCTTTGAAAATCACTATACTGCTTGTAGCGGGGAAGTAGGACTGACATACCTTTAGTTCCGCCCGCGATCCTGAACTTGGCGATGCGGCGAATGATGCCAAAGACATCCTGCGAGTAGAGCTCTTGGAAGCCCTTCTGCCGCCGCGAGACCTCCAAGATAGCTAGCCGTGAGCCGCTCGCGGTGAGGATTTGCTGCTTTCCGTTTCCGAGAAAGTCGCCGGATATGGCGTCCTGAGTCGCTGTCGGCTGCTTCACCGTCAAGGCATACAGGGACATGGAGGAGAAGCTCGTCATGATGGGCGGCGGTGGGCGCTGGCCCAGTTACTCTCGTCGCGTCGAGGTCTTGAGCGCGTGTGGGGAAAGTTCAAAACTAAGTCGCGACAATGGAAAGGAATGCTCGAGTTTGCAGAGTGTAGTGCGCGCCGGTGTCAGGCAGCGCGGCTGAAGAGTTGCGGGCGCAAGTTGTCGAGGCTCGTGAGAAAGATTTACGCGCGAAGAGGCCAGAGCTTCTCGGTCTAGTGTCGGTCCGCCCTGGCCAATTGGTGGGATGCGCCCCACTAAAATTTCATGTCGCAAAGTCCTCGAAGGCGCATACACACGACGCTCTCGATAACTGATACAGTCACGACACCGTATATTCACCATGAAGCGCAAAGTTGGCGCCCTAGAGAAGCTCGAGTCAGACCATGCGGCACTCCGATTCAAGCTGAAGCGAGACCCCCAATCGTACCGAGACGACTTCGAGCAGCAGTACCAGCAGTACCGAACCCTCCTCGACCTGTTCCTTGCCGACCCGAGCACCTCAGACAGCGGTCTGGTTGCGCTGAAGGATCTCATTGAGTTCGTCTCGCATACCTCGGACCTCTACCCCGATGTCGCATCAGAGTTTCCCAGGGATCTCGAGCTGTTGCTCACCCACCATGAGGTACTTGAGTATGATTTGAGGGACAAGATCGTTGGCGCATACTGCTTACTCAAGCGGAAAGAAGTCATAGACTCAGTCAAACTCCTCAACACACTGTTCCCGCTCCTTGTGGCGACGAACAGTAAGAGTCTGCGACAACTGCTCTACACCAAGATTATCTCAGATCTTCGTTCGTCCAACGCGAAGACTGTGAACCACAAGCTCAACAAGTCTATGCAAACAGCACTTTACAAGTACGCAGTATCCTCCCAATGCTTGGCGTTCCCAACTAACCGTCCCAAGTCTCTTAGAATCCGACACCTCCTCGCCGAAGGGTCTCTGGGCCGTAAAGATCACCAGAGAGCTTTGGAAACGACAAATATGGACAGATGCGCGCGCAGTCGAGGTCATGCGACTGGCAGCACTGAGCGATAATGAGAAGACTATCTCGGGCGGCCTCAGGTTCTTCCTCGGCGGTGACCAGGAGCGAGAAGCCGCCGCAGAGGAGAGCAGCGATGACGACAACGATGTGGACATTGGAAAGCTGAAGCACGCGGCCGGAATCAACAAGAAGAGCAAGAAGAAGGCCCGCGACATCAAGTCCGCAGCTGCCGGTCTCAAGAAGAAGGCCAAGAAGAAGAACGCACCCCACCCCCTCAACTTCAGTGCGCTACACCTTCTCCACGATCCTCAAGGCTTCGCCGAAACCGTCTTCTCCAAGCACATCCAGAACACCAAGAACAAGATTACCCTGGAGACGAGGCTACTGGCACTGCAGCTTGTCACTCGCCTCGTTGGATTACATCAGCTCACAGTCCTCCCGCTATACTCATACTTCCTGAAGCATCTCACTCCTCGGCAAGCCTCAGTCACCACTTACTTGGCGTGCTTAGCGCAAGCGACACATTCGTATGTACCGCCAGACGTACTTGAGCCGCTTGTGCAGAAGATCGCGAACGAGTTCGTCTCAGAAGCATCAGCCTCTGAGGTCGCGGCAGCAGGTCTGAATTCCATTCGTGAGATCTGCGCACGTCAGCCATTGGCCATGACAGATACTCTGCTTCAAGACTTGGTCATGGTAAGTTGGCTCCTTAGAATCCGATGCCATACTCTATACTAACGCTATTCAGTACCGTAAATCGAAAGACAAGGGCACAATGATGGCCGCTAAAGGTCTCCTCTCCCTCTACCGCGAAGTCGGCGCCGACCTCCTCAAGAAACGCGATCGTGGCAAGGACGCGACAATGGGTATCCGCGCTGGTACTATCAAAGAACGCCGCTATGGTGAAGAAGCTATTGGAGAGATTGAGGGCATCGAGCTGCTCGAGAAATGGAAGGAAGAGGAGCGCAGGAAGAAGCTCATAGAGGCCGGTCTGGATCCCGACGCAGACAACGGCGACGTCGACCTCGACGATGAAGACGACTGGAAGAAGTGGGACGTAGAGAGCGAGGGCGACAGCGACGACTCAGGCGGCTGGATCAACGTCGAAAGCGACGGCGAGGACATCCAAATCAGCGACTCTGAAGACGAAAAGGACAAGAAGGAACGCCCCGCAAAGAAAGCCAAGCTCGACAGCGCCACCCCCGGTCCATCCGACGACAAGGAAAACACCAAGAGCGCCGAACCAGAAACAAAGTCCCTCTCCAAACTCCTCACAACCACCATCCTCACCCCCGCCGACCTCAAACAACTCCAAGCCCTCCGCGCCTCCAGCACAATAACCTCCACCCTCGCCGGCTCCTCCAAGCGCGCCCAGCTCCTCGCCGCCCGCCACGCCGACGAAGCCATCACCGCCGAGACCATCGAGCTCGCCGCCAAAATCGGCAAGAAGAATACCAAGGAAGAGAAGATTGCTCTTGCCAGGGCCGACCGCGAAACGAACCACACTTCCAAAGCGGCGAAGCACCAGGCCAAGAAGGTGGAAGAGGGCAAGAGTACGACGAACAAGGAGAAGGCAAGGAAGAAGAATTTCCTCATGACGCTGGGTAAGGCGAGGTTTAAGAATAAACGTAGTTTGGGGGATGTTAAGAGGACGATGCAGGGGCATGTTGAGAGGAAGAAGAGGGGTGGTAAGAGGGGGAATAAGGGAAATTAAGTGGATTTTTATTGTTGTGTTATGGATTGGTATGTGTATCAGGTAGATGGAAGATCGCATGTTCTTTCATGGCAGACGAATGGAAAAAGGGAAAAGTAACTTGATACCCAGATAGAATATGGATCATGAAACATGAGAGTCATCCTGTTCCTAAGTAGTCCTAGGACCTGGTGTGATGTCTGAAATCGCACCTTCAACGTCCTTGCCACCTTCTTTTCGCCACTTGCCCACGGTATTAATACAAGGGAATGCTGTCCCCCGTGTTACATCGAACATACATGTACATGCTCTCGCTGTATAGCACCAGCATCCACATTAACCCATCACCCTTATTCCTCCACAGTCGGTGTCGCATCATCATTCGCTTGAGCTTCCCCGCCTTCACCCGCAACGCGTCGTTCAAAGCGAAATACCGGCCTTTGGGTACCGAAATCACCCGAGCTTTCACTGTGGAAGCTGCTTGAAGCATCGCCTTTACCAGAGACTTGGAGTTTGCCGACCTCAGAGCTGAGGGCAGGTCGTATAGGGGCGCTGCGCTTGCTGCAGGAAGAAGAATGCTTGCCTTTGCTATGTTGAGATGAAGGATTGCTCTTACTGTCTGGGGTGACCGGAGAGCCGGCGGAAAGGGGTGGTAATTTGGTAGGAGTTCTCAGGTCTTTGGAAGGAGTGTACGGGTGACTGGTGTACTGTACAGTCCTGGTGTTGTCATTGGTCGCCGTTGACATCTGTTCAAGTGTCTGTGGTGCTTCTCGTCGAATAGGTGTAACGAGAATACCCTTGTGCCTTGTTGACGTTGCTCCCGGGTCCGAGATCGACTGTGGTGGGGTTTTGACGACAGCGTTGTCTGCGCCCGCTTTTCCCTGGATGGGATGACGAGACGTCGTTACACTCGGAAATATACTCGCGGGATCAGCTATCCTTCCATTAGAGTTGCTTGCTACCGGCGATGATGCAGATGCGATCGCGAATGCATCAGCAACACCATGTCCTGTACCATCTTGCCACATGTCGGCATCAGCAGAAAGAGCCTGACGCACTGTATGGTCCTTCTCATTCTGAACCTTCATCGCAGGAGTGACGACAGGCTGTAGGTGGGTCGCCAGACTGACAGCACCGTCACCGCTGTTCTTCATCCTCTTACGCGAGCTTTGTGATTCAGTCTCCATCCAAGCACTCATGTATTGATTCTGAATTTGAACCATCATCGATATATCGTTTTGTAGACCTATCTTGTCTGTGGAGTGAGGATAGACTTGTAGCAAGGATGTGATAAGCGAGGTGTGCTCAATGAGGTGACTGACGAGGAGGTTGGGATCAGGGTCTCGATGTACCGTTGGCGTGTGACTTCTATGTTGGTCAACGTTGCGTACCCCGGATACAGGCGTGGCATTCAGTTGAGTAGCTGGACGGCCTGATTGAGGTCGAGCATGCCGTTGGTGTTCTCCGGCTGCATTATCGCCGGTTTCCGCAAGGTCAGCATCGGCAAGCTTCCTCTTCTGTGGCGAAGTTCGTGAGTAATCTTGGATGTGATGGACAGCTCTCCTGCGGAGCGAATCCTCGTTCTGCGAGGGAACCATTGGCAAGACGTATGTGGTCGATGGAACTTGGACATGATAGTGTTGCGCATACGACAGTGGATGTTGTGGCGCGTGTTGCGCAAGAACCGGCGCGGAGAGTGGGTACTGTACTTCGAAAGGTACGTTGAGCGTGTGCCGGCCCCATGCTGCGTTTGGGCTGACATCAGGCGCGGCAGTGATCTTCGCGCTCATCATGCGATAGATATCATGACTCTGATGCCCGGTGAATGTGCTGCCGTTCGCAGGCATGGCTGCCAATGCCGGTCTGGAGACACCGTAGCTGTACAGCTCCCTATATCCATTGCCGATGAACTGATGCGGTTCCGACAGCTTTTTGTGTTTCTGTCTGCGCTTCGGGGCTCGCGTTGCTCGCCTTGGGGGTGATGGATCCTCGTTGACGATGATGGGGTTGTGGCTGCTGCCGCTCATGTTCGCGAAAGGCTTAGGTGCGAGCCTTCGCAGGGCGGAGGAGACTGTTCGATCGGTGGAATCAGTTGAGCCTTGTCGTTTCTTCGGCGTCGTGATGGTGAGTACCACTGGAGATTCGCCGGTACTCGGGGATGTGAGACTGAGATCATGCTCACTAATGTTGCCGGAGAGCGCCATTCTGGGAGGAGTGTCTGGCACTCTTCGATCGTCCGGAGCTTTCACGACCTTCTTGACGCTGGGAACGATGATATGTATGGTGTCGCTCGCCTGTCGGGGCGGTCTGGGCCGTCCAATACCAGCCGTGGCCGGCTCTGCGTTTGCAGTGCCTCGCCGAGTGGACACCATGATGTTCAATGTTTGTCCTGGTTCGTCAGACCTTCACCGCTCAGTTGATTTCAAAATCTCCTCACCAGTTTCTAACTATCACGTCGCCGAAATGGTACAGCGCTGTGCCGGATTAGGGTGGTGAAGATGAGAACGTGATTACTGGCGACGCTCTTCTTGCGTCCGCGAGGTGGAGCGAACCCGACGACGATAGCGGCGAAGGAGAGAATGGAGAGTGAAGTGATGAGTCGCAAACAAACTTATGATGTTGCCTACATGTATGTAGAAGGTGCACTATGTGCGGGAAGGGACATCCACTGTTTGAGAGGAAGGCGCGACGCACCGCGATCAACAGCAAGAGCGAAATCTCAGCATAACACATCGTAAACGAAGATAAGTGGAATGAAAGACGAGACGAAAAAGAAAGAGAACGATACCTCATGCGCTCGCCGTTGGTGCTTCGCGCGGCAGCTCTCATCCTGCGGTCAGAAACGCGCGAAGTTTAACCAGCTCTTCCACATCATCCACATCGTTGACGACGCGATCGATAGCGCCATCATCCCAAGCGATGCCCTGCCAAAGCAGCACACCCACATCTCTCATCACTCTCACATCGCCCATCCGAGCTTCCAATTCAGGTATGGCGTCGATCAAGCGCGACCAAAACAGCTCACGAAGTTGCGTCGCACCGTTGAGGTAGGTCCACGTGAGTGCAGATCCGGGGAGAGATATCGCCATGTTTCCAAGGAGATACTCGAGCCCGTACAGACAGGTCCCGAAAGGTAAGTATTCCGCCTCCGCCCAGTCTACCAGGCCTGTGATCTCCCAGGTGTTCTGGTCAACCAGGATATTGGATGGGATGAGGTCCCCGTGATTGAGTACTACTGGGTATTCTTCCATTCGCTGTATCGCGCGCATTGCCTCTTGCGCTATTTCGCGTAGATGTTCATCCGGTAGCTCACTAGCCAGCCTCTCAAGTCTGGAAATGATTGTTGAGCCGACCTTGCCGCAGCACTGCGCGAGCATCGATGAACACTCTTCCATGGGTGAATCTGCCCGTACCGTTCGGGCGATATAGTGTACTTTCTGTGGTGAGTGCCAGCTTTGCGCAATAAGATCCGCGAAACTTGTGATAAGGCGCTCTAGTCGCTTTCCTGCGCTGTCATCGAGTGAGTGTCCATGCTGTTGTAATCGACTCAGCGGCGTGCCGTCAACCTTTTTCATCTCGTATGCGCATATGCCTCTGGGTAGTGTTAAACCGAGATCCTCGATGGTGGGGGCTAGTGCTAGATGCGTCGTGCTGGCAGCGCGTACAATGTTGAGGTCGAGGGCGTGCTGCGGCGGCCGAAGCTGGACGATGAGAGCACGTTCGTCCTCACATTCCACCTCTGCGGTAGCCTGATGCCGGGTGTTTTCCCTCGCAAAAGCGACTTTTGGTGGCATGACCAGAAGGGTGTAGCTACAATAACCCTGTTCGCTATACTCATTAACTTCATAGTCTTCATAGCGATCTCGCACAGCTTTCACACAGATCTCCCTATCCTCCAAATGTAATCCGAAGCGATTCCAGAACTTTGGGTTCGTCATCGATGGTGCAACCTGAGCGTGTTTGGGATGGAGGCCCAAGGACTCGAGCCCCGTCGCGAGGTTGAGGGAACGCGAATCATCCCGTCTCGCATCATATGTGACATTCTGCCGTAAGCCCTGTCGCGACTTGTTAGAGAGCTAGAAGTCGAATGGTGTGTCGCACGCAGTCGTGGTTCGCTGGGAGTTTGCACGTGGAAGTTGGCGTGGGAGGAAGCAGCGAAGGAAGCGGGGATGTGGGGTGAACGGTGGCTCCCACTTAGGCGGGCGAGGCGTCGTCGCAATCTCCTCCATTCTCCACCCACCGCTCCAGACTAGTCCAAGCATCAAACGGTACTGGCTTATGGCGGAAGAGACGACATCAGCTTTACTGTCCGACGGGCTCCAGCCTGGCCACGACATCTTTTGTACACCCCAAAATGACGCGGTTCCTGCGGGTAGCCTGTACTCAGAACTGGATGTTGCGCAGCAAGAGATCCGCCTTGTCAAACTCTGGCCTGGCACCGAAGACAATGTCATCGAATGCACACTACTCCCGGGTAGGCCTTTGCTCGATCTGAAAGGACTGTATACGGCTCCATCCTACTGCGCTGGCTCTGCAAAGAATACTGAATCTATCGTCCTCAACGATATGCCTTTCAATGTGTTCGCAAACCTGGCACATGCTCTGAAGGAAGTCCGTAACTTCTGGAAAGCTACATACGGCGCAAGGGAGTGTCTATTGTGGATCGATCAAATCTCGATAAATCAGTACGACATCAACGAGAGATCACACCAGGTTCGGTTCATGCGCGAAATCTACGAGTACGCAGAACAAGTCCTTGTCTGTCTGTCGACTGAGAAGGCCGACCCGAAAGGAATGAATTGGTCTATAAAGGTCGCGAGAGATGTTCGCCCCCGTGGGTTCGATGAGATTCCCCAAGGGGAACGCGAGATCGTGACCAGTGACTCTCATGATGATCTGGATGACAAGCAACGCGCCGATATAATCGATTACGATCACCAACGCTTGATCGCAGACCACGTTATCTATAATACACGGAGCGACTTGATAGAAGAGTGGTTTGCTTCCTATGAGATCATTGGAGCTCCTTGGTTTACGAGAGCCTGGGTCCTCCAAGAATTCGTTGTCGCAGCAAATGTGTACTTCATGTATAGTGGAGTCTTTGCATCCTGGCGAACTGTTCTTCCAGTGTGGAGAGCAATTTACTCCACCTTCGATTTTAGAATTCGCCAGGCAATCGGTCTCATGTCGGGCCCCCCGAGGAGCTGGTTTTCTGGTTTTCCGGAACGACGCAACCCGAATCGACTCATTGAGGACACTAGGCAAGGTGATTTAAGAGTAGGCATGACTGAAGCGATATTCACAATAGATTGTAAAGCCCACTCGCGTCAGAACCAGGACTTGAAGGAACTTCTGTCGCATTCCCGCAATCGCCATACTTCAGATCCCAGAGACAAAGTATTTGCCTACATCGGTCTGATCGATCCAGCCTACCGCATTGAACCGAACTATTCTCATTCCATCGATCAAGTTATGATCCATACAACTACCAGGATCATAGAGACAGAGAATAATTTAGACATTCTGTGGCACGCTGCAGCTTCTCAGACACATCATACCAACAGTCTGCCATCGTGGGTGGCTGATTGGACGTGCAAGGAATCCCCTTGCACTCCGAATAAGTCATACACCCACTCCCATGTACTGAAGAATACCGAAGCAAACGCTTCGTTTCGCACTGTTGAAACAGCTCGTGGAACTTTGCAGGCCTTGCAAGTTGATGGTGTCTTGATTGACAGATTAATCAAAGACTCAAGAAGAACGGTCCACAACGAGCACTTGTATACATCTTACAACGGCTTTGACGGTGCTTGCTCCCATGACTCTAAAAAAGACGATGAGATATGGGTTTTGAGGGGCTGCAGATCACCGCTAATATTACGTCTCCAAGACAAGTATGGCTACATACTGGTATCAGCTGCGACATACGGGCGCGAGGATCTCGGAGATGACATCTGGATTACGGAGCGGGCACAGGAAGAAAGAGAGAAACAAGGAGGCTGGCGAAGCATATCTATAATCTAGTCAAAGTCATGACTGCAGACCTAATCCACTATTTCGACTTTCCATGAAGCTTCGCGGCGAAGCTGCAGCATCTATCAACACACGGCACTGTATTTCTGGTGTGATTAACTATCGTCATCGCCATGCGCCCTTATTTAGCAGCGTTTTTGCACTATGAAACTCTATCGATTCACACTCCCTTCACTATGTAGACCTCACACCAGTTACACCAGAATCTGCCTGTGATGGGCTGTAATGAACAGCAGAGAGAAACCGTACAACACAGCCGAACGACATCCCAAGACGCACAACTGTACAAGATGTCCATTCCCAATAATCATGCAACAGACCAGACTCACCCGTGCTGTCACGGAAGAAACAAGAACGAGGAAAATGAAGTCGGAAACGCAGCGCCTGCGATGATGCACGGGTCCGTCGATACTACGCCTCTTGAAGCCCCCACGTCCATACAATCTGACTGTGTATCTGCAGGCCTCTATTCAGAAGACGAGCTGCCTGTCCCTTCCCTAGAGGAGCGACAAGCCGGTGAAGATGTTATCATGGCAGACATGCTAACAGCTATGCAACTGGAGGGCCTGGAGGTAAGCACTCCTTCCCCGGAGAGCCAGTGGACGAACATGGGCGTAGAAGCTGATTCAAAAGCCAATTCGGTCTCAGCGGAGCTAAACGAACAACAACCCGAAAGTCTTCATGCTTCGGACGGATCAGCTCACAGCGACTCCTTGACGGCTACAGGTTTCGCGGATGACGAGCAGACCGCACAGCCCGAGGAGTACGCAGACGATGCCGACTCTCTAGAGCTCGAGGATTTTGACATTGACTTCAGCGAGCTTCTCCCATCAAATTTCCCCGATTTCCCCTTCGATGATTTGAACAACCCCTCCGACGAAAAATGGGCAGAAATGCTGAAAGAAGTCGACGCATGGAACAAAACATACAACGGCGCAGCCACAGAAGACACTCACACCAACACCGCTCCCGGGGAACCCTTCACATACGCCGTCGACCCCTTCACCCCCGAAATCTGCAAAGCCGACCTAATCCGCTGCCCCATCTCCATCCCCACACCAGAAACCGACATCCTCGCCCACTTCTCCACAGAATACGCGCGCTCAATCCGGCTCCTCAAGGTAAAATACCGCTGGTACCATTCCAGCCCCTCAGACTGGCAAAAAGAAGTCACAACCCTCATCTCCGGCATCGACAACGCGTCCAACAACCTAGAACCCTGGCTACCATTACACAGATGGCTCGTACTGTACCGTCGCCTCATGCAAGGCGCGACGGCGCGTGAGCGCTACAAGACCAAGAATTTCTTACTGAAGAAGTTGGAGGCGATGGCGAAGATGCGGATGGAGGAGAGTAAGGCGGCGGTTGTGGAGTTACTGCAGGCGAAGGGGATGAAGTTGGCGCATGGGGCTTTGTGTGGGATGAAGCGTGCGGTTGATGAGGACTGTGAGAGGAGGGGGAGTTTGCTGCTGGGGAGTATTGCGGAGTTTACGAATGAGCTTGTTGGGGGGTTTTCGGGGAGGTGGTCGTGGGTGGACTGATGGAGATGTGTGGATGTAGAGGTAGAGAACGTGCTTATGCGCAATGGAATTTCAACGTTGAGACAGTTGACACCTTTTTGCGAATGTACCAAATGCGACATGGCCATCGTCCCATCCTTCCTCACCACTTCGGCATCTCCATCCTCGCAGTACATCCCCTCACCTCCGGAAATCATCTCCAAGGGCTCGCGGTTATTAGACTACACCCCGTGATCGTGGTTGACGATTAAAAGCAACAAAGATAGTGCCCGTATAAGCTTCCCGATGTCATCTCAAACTATGACGTCACACCCCAAACTCCGAAGTAAGATCGCCCCGGGTCACGAACCGATAGATCTTGGATCCATCGTGCACAGCTCCCACCGTTACAATAAACTTTCCGGCGCGCACTCTACCAGCCTGTGCGCGACAACGATGGACTATTGTATACACACCGGTGTACTCTTGGCCTACGCAGTTCACTGCTGATCCCTTTCGTCTTATCTGCATCATTCCGTTGCGCATGTCCCAACTTCAACCAAGCTCTCTCTCGCTTGGGTGATTTGCGCAATGCATGCGTTGCCAAGCTACAGCAAGGCAAACTTCCGACGTCGAAGGAAGGGGACTCAAAAAAAGTGCCAGGATGCTGATTGGCTGTGAAGTCAACAATTCCATTCGTGCAGGATGCGGGTAAATCATCTTTCAAATTGAGAAAGTCTCATCCATGTCCTTAGCCAACAAGGACGATGTTGCAAGTAAATGAAAATAAAGACGACGAATACATGCGGATCTAGGATCAACGTGGGTGTTGGGCGAGATACCAATGCGATGCGCAGAGTTGCGCAGTTTGCTGATCACTGATCGCCCAAAACCTTGCGAGGATCTTCACTTGTCAAGGCGCCTGATAGCAAACTTCGTGTCCAGCATCATGCTTACTGTCCGTAGACTTTCTCGCTTCCTGGTTCCCCATGTCTACCATAGCGTATCTCCGCACGAGTTTCAACCGGTCAGACCCTTCTTTTCCAGACATGCACAATCAGTCTCGCATACACGCCATAACCCTCGCATCGAAACTAGCCCAGTCCAGTTCAGTCCATGGAAACGTGGCACAACACCACCATCTCCACTCCAACACCCTCGTGGAATGTCGGACTACCGCTCTTAGCCCTACGAAAGCAAAACCTTCTACCGACATCGTAGGGCTGGACCAGCGCCACATTTTCCCACAGCTGAAGAAACAATCGTGACATGGCCATATCCATTCTATCCGCCCGAAGCTACACGTTAGCCTTCCCGCACCGCGCTAGTCGCCACGCTACATCTCTCCGACACCAGCGATTGCTGTGGCGCATCTAGATCCACTTGCTAGTAAATCGTGGAGAGCTGAAAAAAGTAAAATGCAGAATGCAGAATGGGCGGCAGGCGGCTAACGTGGATGTCCTGCGCATGTCCAGTGTTTTCGGGTCAGTCATGCTTAGTCGGTGACAGCGATGGGCGCTGGTGGTGTTCGCTTATCTGGCTGAGGAGGCATACATGTCTCGATGATAGGCTGGCAGCATTGATGGGCTTCTACGTGGGCTTTGTTTGCTGACGCTGGGCTGAGACATGGGTGCGTTGAAGTGCGGAAACGGACATCGGGCTACGCGGTGAGACTGAGGTTTGGACCGAGTGCGTGAAGTCGTCGCCGGCTTGGATTTCGTTCGACAAGCACGGGCGGTCTGGTAGTCTCTGGTCTAGCCGCGCGGCAGGTGAACGTCCGGCCCTTCTCTCTGTTAGTGACCGCCCGGCAAGTTTGTCGATCTGAGATGGGGCTTGCGTACCCGAGACAATTCTGAAATGGCAAAGATCTGTGAGGATCTGGATTGAATGAAGATCTCAATGGCGTAGTCGAGCGTGCATCCAGGCTCGTGGGTCTGCGATTGCGCTCACGGCACGGGAGACGGCACCATTGCGGTGAGTGAAGCGCAGGTGCTTCCTCGGCGAAGTGCAGATCAGCAGCATGTGTAAGAAACTGAGAAGATGTTTCGATGTACTGAGGCAGTGATGTGTCATTAATGATTCTATGTAGCCCAAATGCTCACTGGAGCTTTGCGACAAAGGAAATGCAAAAGGGTATATTCGTATGAACAGCATGTGATGTGTCGCACTCCAAACGCCTGGTAATGCAATTTTGTCGCACTCTGCGACTCGGCCATGCCCATGTGTAGCGCCGTATGCAGAATCTGACAGATGCCGTGATGGTGGAGTACAGCAGGTGAGTCTGTGTTGCCGACTCATTCTAGAGAGTGATTTCATGTGCCCTGTGAAACGCCGTTGAAAATCGATATGGTGAATGCTAGGTCTTCGTTTGCTGATTAGGGAATGACTGCTAGACAATGCTGTCGATGTAGCGGATGCTCGCAGATGATCATTTGCGGAAGACGCTCATGAAGCTCTTGCGTTTGGTCATTCCTGAAGTCATAGGCCTGTCGGCAGGAATAGGAGGCGGCGCTGGGTGCGCGGCAGACGCGGACCTCTTGCCGAACTTGGAGAGTATGGGTTCAGACTTCTTGTTGACGATTCTGCTGTCGTCAATCTTCTCGTTGACAGCTACTCCGGAATCGCGGGATGCGTCGTGAGAAACCTCAGTGGTGACGACTGGTCTTGCGCCATGGTCAGCCTTGGATAGACCACGAGACAGCTGCATGGTACTCTTTGCTTTGAAGACACCAGATCTGCGCGAGCTCTTGGTCATGGCACGCTTGATGTTGCTACCAGTCTCCTCGGCCTGCTGTCGCTCCAAGCGCTCAATTTCGCCGAGGATAGTCATGCCGTTCATGGCAAGGCTCTCTTCGGGGATGGGTACGAATTTGACTACGCCACGCTCCGGCGCAACGCCAATTGACTCAGCCATGAACGTCTGAATCAGGGCGGCATTGCGTTTGTTGGTCGTGGGTTGCAGTTGCACAGGCAGAGCGTTAATAGTGAGCATGTAGGTGGGCTCAAATGACCCCCCGAGGAGCAGACACGCTGAGTGGTTGACCGTTATCATGATAGAGGCTTCTGGCCTTTGATAGCGCGTCGAGAGGTGGTGCGAGAGGTCGGTGACCAGGGTGTATTCGTCTTTGATCTACGCCGGGTTAGTGATTTGCCAAAAGAGTGGAGCTCGGCAGAATAACAACTTACGATAACGTTTGTCCGCAGCTCGGCTACAATGGGGGCATCCTTGGTCACACGGTCGCGAGCCGACGACGCCATGCCGTCCTTGTAGGAGAATTGATCCTCGTAGAACTGTGCACGCGAGCGCGAAGTCATGGGCCGCAGGGGACCTACTTCATCCGCGGCGGCACTCGGAGCGCGGTTCCGGGAGTCGTGCTCGATGTCCTGGACCGACTGGGGCGACGATGCAAAAGAGAACTGTGAGTGCGCGGGTGAGAGCTGTCCATTGGCTTTCTCCGGCGAGAGGAGGGTGGTGCCTGCCTGTTGGGGAAATGCATTGTTGCCGGAGTAGGTCGAGGTGGACGATGGGCGTGACATCTTGGCTTGGGTCGAGGTAGAGTTGTTGACCGAATGGGGCATGATAGAGGAGAGAAAACGATGGGGAATTGAGGATATAAGAGTAACGACCAGGGTTGTCTGTCTGGTATGGGATTTGCCTAGATATGGATAAAGGCGTTGGTGCACATGCAAGAGCGCAGATCCCGGCGCGCTTCTCTATCTTGCAGTGTGAGACGAGGTCCGGAATGAGACGCGGTGGCGTTTGGTTATCAGCGGCCTGGGGGAAACGGAAACTGGGAGAGAGTCCGTGGGGAGTCCGTGTATCGATTGACGGTGTGGTGGAAGATGGTGCGGCAGGATGCAAGTGATGGGCGGTAGCAGTCCAGGGTTGAGGAATGGATGACGACTGAGCAAACACCCCGCAGTTGCAAAAGGAAGGCGCTGGTCGGAGAGATGCAGGAGATGGGCCCTGGGCAGAGCACGGCGAACCACTGTATGATATATTCCCATAGTCGCCGCATGCCAGTGCACTTGAGCACCAAGCAGCACCAAGCCTCAAGCATCTCGGGTAGAGCGACAGGGGTGCGGCCTCAAGTTGCAGCATCACCTGCACACGGGCCAGCCGCCCGCCATGCAGTTTTGGGCGCCTGCACACGATCGGACTGGGTATCTGACATGAGGCCTGGCTGAAGACGGCTGTGCGCTGCATCCTTATCTGGCGATGCGTCAAGTGTCGGCGACTCCAGCGAGCCCTCAGCTCTCAGGAAAGCCATGTTTGCTGCTCCAGGCGCGCCACCACCCGCACCTGCCAGCTGTGCCGACCGCGCTTTCCTCACCCCTCGCTGCGACTGCCAGTTGAAAATAGCATCGCCCACAAGGGAAAGGGCAACCCCGTCCCCCCTGGTCCAGGACGTTGGCCTCAATCTCAGCGACAACGCAACACCACTCTGGTCCACTCAATCGAGGTTTGACGCTGGCTCCTAGCCCGCGCACTAACCCCGTCGCCGGCCACTCCTCCTACCCCGCCAAACGCAGTCTAGCCTGGAGCCGCTCTTCTTGGAGCTCGCTCCGGAGTCTCGACCTCTGTTCGACGGCCGCGCCTCTCGTGCCATGTCTCTGGTCTGCCTGCACTCTTTCGTCAGGAGGTACGCGGGCGGGAAGAAGCAGCATCCGCTACTCTACCTGGAGCCGCCCTGCTCGCACAGCATCGGCGGTCACTGGTACATGTCGTGGCCACATTCCAACTCCGCAGTTCGGCGCGCTGCCGAGCGAAGCCATACCAGACACCAACGCCGACATGGTCACTGATGTGCATATGCCTTCCAGATGCAGAAAGGCACGACACTGCACGCGTCACAACCCAATCACTGAGACAGCCACCGGCATTCATCCTTCAATCACTTCCACGCATCATGGGTACCCAAATAATTTGTGTGCAAAGGAGCGGGAGATAAACAGCTGATGCAGGTACTAGTTCTTGTTCGTCCCAGTCTCGACCCCAAAGCGACGGGACCTAGCAATCTCCACTTATATTCAATGGACCG